TTGATACATAGAAACAATCAGTATTAGATCACTCTCTCTTTAACCGATCATTAAGAATGAATTCACTTCTCTTGAAATATTGAGTGAAGAAGAAAATTCGATGACAAATCACAAGAAAAACATATCTATTCTTAATGAAAGGTTTTAGAACATTCTTCTATTCGATATATTCATGGGGAAAGTTTCACATTTTTGGCAAATCCCTGTCTATAAACTTAAAATTTAATAGAATGATATTTTTTTTTGTTGCAAACACTAAATAGACGGACGATTATAGAAGTCTATTAACTTCGAAGTTTACTAATTATAATATAAATATGAATTCAATCTGTTGACATCATCTGGATATATATTCTCATCAGGTAGGATTTATTTCAATTGTTTTACAAAATATTAATCTAAAAAAAAAAAAAAAATTTCAATAACATTTAGAAAGAAAAACATTCAAAAAAAATGATGTTCTCATAGTATCAAAAACTCTACTATACTAATATGATAGGATTTAGTCGATTTTCTTTCAAGATTTGTTTATTTTCATAAAAACAAGATGAAATTTTCAAAATAGACTAAGTACTACAAATTTCATATATAGATCAACTCTAGATTCAAATACCAAAAATTCGATTTTTCTCTGATTCTTTTTGCTTATATTAATTTATTAAAATCTATTTTTATTGATAAAATTAGATTAAGATAGTTTAGATGAATATAAAATATTAAACTTACGTCTAATAATGCCAAGTCGTGTAAGTAATAATTGAGTTCCATCATTAACAGTTGATAAATCACGATTAGAACTAATACTTATAGATGGCATTTGTTGAAGTCTTTGTTCATTTTGAGTATTTTCAACGTTTGATGACATTGATCGAAGAAATTGAACAAATTCATTTGTTTGACTATTTTCATTATCTGAATCAGTATGAGAATCTAAATAAAATAATAAATTTTTTGTCTAAATTCTTTTCATCAAATAAATAATATATATTTTAAAACCTTTTTGTTCTTGTATATTTAATGATTCAGATTTTTGACTTTTTGAATTTTCAATTGTTTCTTCATGAGTATCAAATTGTATTTCAAATGGTGAATCAAGTATATCACTAACAGATAACATTGTTGATAATTGAGGAGGACCTAACAATATCAATATATATATTAAAATTTTTAATCGAAAAAAATAAAAGTCATTTTAATAAAACCATGAATTCGTTTGGGTGGTGCTGTGGGTGGTGGTGGTGTTGGTGTTGGTAGTAATAATTCTTGATCAGTAGATGATGAAATTCGTATGAAATTTCTTGAATTTTGTTCAATTTGTTGTCGTTGTTGTTTATTTTTTGATTGAATAGATGTTAATGGTTGAGAATTAGGATATTCAAAAATATCAGCTGAAAAACCTTCACTTGCTAAATAAAAAAATTGTTGTAAATTTTCAAAGTTATGTATTTATATTATTTGTTATAAATAAAATATACAAGCTTTTTCAGGATCTGACTGTAGAACAGAAAGTGTTGTTGGTCTTTTTTTCTAATAGAAATAATAATATTTAATTAAATGTATATATATATATATTAATAGAAATAAAAATCTACTGCTGATAATTGATAATTATTTTGATTAGTTGATATTGTTTCGGTTCTTAATTTTCGATCTAATTTTTTTAATTTTAAATCTCAATTTAATATTTATAATAAAACGAAATAGAAATACTTTCACTTGTTCGTCCTCGATTATTTAATGATACTGGTGGTTTGGATTTTTGAGAATGGTTTGTAGTCTAATTTTAAAAATGAAGTTTTTTTGTTTTTTTTCTTAATAAATAAAATCTAACATGTATAGATGAACGTTGTCTTGTTGTTGATGATATTTGTCTTTGTTCATTATTTGTTATGGTTGATGATCTTTTATGTCGTGAAACTAAAAAAAAAAGTTAGTATTGATGCAAAATGATAATAATAAACAATGTTATTACTTGGAGGGGATGGGGATGGACTTGGTGAGCTCTAAATTGAATTAGATTATTAAAACTAAAGATCAACAAAAAGAAAATAATAATAATAATACAAACTGTAGAACTTTCTAATTGACATCTAAATAATTAAAAATTAAATAATAATTAAAAAAAAAAAAACAAAAAGTAACTTTAATTTACTGTTGACAAGATTTTGATCCAACAATATGATCAATTTGAAAAAAATGATTTTCATCTCTTTTAATTAATGCATGTTCACAACAAGCTATTATTCGATCTTCAAGTATATCATTTATATAAAAATCTAATTTTATTCTTGGATTATCTCTATAACGTTTTGATTTAAATGTTAATTGATCTTAAATAAATTTATTTGAAATTAAATTAAATATAAAATTATTAAAATTTACCTCCACATGTTAAACAACCTTTAAAAACAGTTCTACCATTTTGAACAATCATTATCTCATCACCATGTCTACTTGCCGCTGAACTACGATAAGTTAATGTAACTAAAGAACATTCACTTGAGTCACTCTATTTAAATTAAATAAAAGTAAATATTTTATAGATTTATAAAATAAAACGATGACAGACTCGATGATAATGATGAGGGCGAGAGTGACGATATTGAGAAACACTACCACTTCTATATCTTGGCTATAGAAAAAAATTAAAAAAAAAAAGAACAATATTCGACAGAAAAAAAATCTCTTTACTGGTTCTTCATAGATATCATCTGAATCATATCGATGACGACTATCTCTATAATCACTTGTTTGAGAATGTGATCGACCTTGTCGTCGCCTGTCCGAACTCTAATTTAAGATAAAATCATTAATAAATTTAAATACTTAATCAAATTTATTTTATAAAAATAAAATTGTTAAATTATAAAATATTTAAATGATTAACCTGAATATCATGCATTATTGATTGATATTCTCGTCGAAGATCATTTTCATGTTGTCTTTCAAGATCCATTGTTCTTTAATAAAAATATATTTAATTTTTAATTTAATTTAATTTAATCCAATAACTCACTGTTCTAGTAATCGTTGATTAATTAAGTCTTTTGCCAATCGAAGTCTTTCACGTCTTAGTAAATAATCCATCACTTTTATGATTTAACTACGTCTATAATTCTATATAATTTTAAATAAGTCTTTTCATTTATTTATATTCATCATAAATCATAATAATATCTGATTTTGAACTAAAAAAAGAAAAACAATAAAGAAAAGGAAGAACTTCATAAGTTGATCTTTATAAAGACAGTAACACTCAACATAATTTTTTCTTTACAAATGTGCACGTTGTCTTACACTACTACAAACTACTTATTATTCACCAAACAACGTTAAAAAAACAAAAAATGAAGACAGAACGCAAAAAAAAAAAAAAAAAAAAAAAAAAAAAACAAAATAAAAATGAAGGTTCTTTTTCCTTTATGAAGCAAATACCTTTAAAGTTACACACTTATACTTGTCTCTTTTATCGATTGTAGTTATTATGATGTAGAAAATAGCAGAGACAAGATGTGCTATCAGAATGTCCTTCAGGTATCATTGTGTATATAATAAACTTGAAAGAAAAAAATTATTCATTGACATTAACTAAACAATAATATGATTTTCATAATGATAAAATCATTATTTTATTTTTCTAGTCGCGTTTGATTTATGATATTGATAAATTAAAATACAATACATTATTCATGTTTACTATCATAGATATGAAAAATCAATGGTGATAGTTTAGTTTATAAAATTTTCTTCGATTCAGAATATTTTCATTATAAATATTCGATTTAGATAATATAATATATATTCTTAAAAAAATATTATTATTCTATCAATTAGTTTTCATTACGTAGAACAAGGTTATATTTGACGAAACGTCTATTAACTATTCAAGTACTTCATCATATTCGTACAGTCGCTCAATTTATTAGGTTTTTGTAATAAATAAAGTAATAAAAGATTTTTTTTTTTTCATTCAATTTGAAAAATTTTCCAAATAATACAAATCTTATTTATGCCATATGAGATATAAGAACAAAAATTTCGTACAGATCTAGTCCGAGAAATTTAACGTTGGAGAAGAGAAACTGTCATAATATTTTTTGTTGGATGTGAAATTGTTTTTGTTTAGGAGACCGCCCAAAAAATTTTCGACTCTTCTGAAGAAAAAAAAACAGTAAAAAAGTTTCTTTCTTGAATGTGTCACATCTCCGACGCTCCTTCAATTGACCCATTTTTGATTTCACATTCGACTTCAGTTGTAAATAAGTGATAATTTATTGAAAGACTATTCGAATAAAAAAAACTAAGATTGTTTTGTTTTTTCTTTTTTTTCTGTCAAATAAATGAAGATTTTCATTTTTTTTTTCGTTCGATTATTTGTTATTCTTTTGATAAAGAAAAATAAAATGAAATATACTTGATAAATGTCAATATTATTTGTCAAAACTTTATCTTATTCAATATTCATTTCAATAATATTAGGATATGTTTCGCAGAAAAGTTCTCGTTCTTTTTTTTTTCAAAATCATCATGATTCATCTTAGTTTTGGTAAATAATCCTATGGTTGTTATTTTTAATAATTTCTTTGTGAAAAAGAGTATTATATTTTTGAATTATTCGACAAAACAAAAAACGAATCAGAGCAATTACAAAAGACAAAAAAGAGGAAAACAATAAAAGTAGATTACTGTGAAAATACTCTTAACAAAACTACATAACAATAATTTCTCTTGATGAATTCAATTCTAATTGAATTATTGTTCTATATTTATCAAAAGACGCCACCTGTATTCACAAATATATGCTTGACGACGACGACTACAGCAATAAAGTATGAGCGTGTTTTTGCTGTTCTTGCTTCATTCACTATCTTATTTCATGTGGTTGTTATTTTTATGAAATACATCATAGCCAAGACAAACAAGAAGAAAAAAAAAAAGAAGGGTAGTCCTTCAATATTCAAAAGCCTAAACTAATCGGATACTAAACAAATTCAATTGCTATGTCTCAACAAATATCTCGATGTGAACAATGTCAACAGCAATATACATTATTTCGACGAAAAGTAAGTAAATACTATCGAATTCAAATGAAATACTAATCATAGAGTAACAATAATCTTAGTAGAGATAAGATATAATGTACTTTTATTGAATAAGGAGAAAAACAAAAAACAAATGTTTCTATATCGAATAATTATTTTGTTTTTTTTTTTGTAAAATAAATTTGATTGATTTTAAAATTATTTTAGAAACAATGTAATTTATGTGGACAAATATTTTGTTCAAAATGTGTTCAAAAACCAACAAATTTGATGTCATTGAATAATTCACGTATATGTACAATTTGTTTATTAATTATAAATGAACGTACAACTTATGATCAATTAGCATCAATTCGTATAAAACATCTTCGTGCTTATCTTATTCATTCAAAAAAAGTATCTTTAAATCGTCTTGAATCATGTTTTGAAAAACAAGATTTAATTAATTTAATTCAATCAGAAAAAAGTCGAATATCAGAAGAAAGTTATGTTTTTGTTGAACGATCTTCAACAACAAATAATAATAATCATCAACAAGTTCAACAACCAACAGTAAATACAGATGAAGAGGTAAAAAAAAACAAACAAATCTTTTCTTTTGTTTTGTCAAAAATTAGATTTAATTAAACTAAAATATCTTCTTTTAGAATATTTATTAGATTTATTCGTTCAATTTTATCTTTTTCAGTAATTTTTTTTTTTGCTTTCTGAAGGACAAAATTATTGATGCATAACTTGACCCAAAAAAAGACATGTTTTTATTGCGTATATAGAAAATCTTTTTTCCGAATTTCAATATAATGAATTCGAAATGAAATAGTTATCAATCTTCTCTATAAACATTAAATATATAATACAAAATCTGCTTAATAATAGATAGATCGTCTTCAATGATAGACTATTAGAGTAAAGAAGTGTTCTATTTTTTTTTAATTTATTATCGACTCTTATTGATTTTTTTTTTTTTTAACCTCAGGGTTTGCTATCCACATGTCACATTGATTTATGTTACTGTAAGTTTCAAAGAACTCTAATTGATTTACTTTAATTTTTGTCTACAATCACAAAATTCTTCAATTTATTCTTTTGTCTAATAATCACATGAGAAATTTCATTTGTCTATCACTATATATGAAATTCACAACAAGAATTTAGAATGTCCTGAATCATTGTAAAACGATTGTCTACATTCCAAGACTCAAAAGATAGTTAATTTCATCCTTGATAAATTTTATTTATAAGATTTTCTTTTTTTTTTTTTAATTTTTTATTCTTGATATATAATAAGAAATGAATTGACTATATGATCAATATTGCTTTGATTATTGATTTGATCAAATAAAATATTATAGATATATAGATGATTAATTATTAATTTAATTCTAACTGTCAATTGATTTCATAATCATTGAATATAACTCTTTCGATACAATAATTTATTAAAATAATAATGAAAATTAATAGTTCTTTTCGTGATTCTATTTTAATTACTTATCAAAATGACGTAAAAATGAGAATATAACAATGCACTTAACTAAAGATACGATCGACTAGTTTGTAAAATTGAATAATCCTTTTTATTTCATATAAGTTTTTCATGCAGATCTTAATTTTACTCGTTATTTATTTTCTAATTTGTTTCTAGATATTATCATCTAATGTTGTCAATTCTTCATTTTCAACAAATGAAACAGAAACAGAAACGGAAACTCCTATTGAAACTTCATCAGTAAATATTAATTCTTCACTTCCAACAAATGAATCAGAAATAGAAACTCCTATTGAACCAACATCATTAATAAATTCTAATTCTTCAGTTTCAACAAATGAAACAGAAATAAAAACTTCAATTGAAATATCTTCTTCAAAGACAAATTCTAATCGTATAGCTCTTAATGATATTTCATCATTAGAATCAATACATAATTTAACAATTCGACAATTAAAAGATATTTTAAAACAAAATTTTGTATCTATGACAGGATGTGTTGAAAAACAAGAATTAATTAATAAAGTTGAATTACTTTTTCAAGATTATCAACAACAAAAACAATTAAATACAAATAGTAAAATTATTTATTATATTTTACAATTAAATATTCATTTGTTAATTTTTCTTTTTATAAGTTACTAATGAACAATCAGATGAAGATCTATGCAAAGTATGTATGGATGCAAAGATTGACTGTGTCTTTCTTGATTGTGGTCATTTATGTACATGTATACGATGTGGTAAACAATTATCTGAATGTCCATTATGTCGATGTTATATTATACGTGTCGTACGTGTTTTCAAAAGTTAAAAAAAAATTTATATTATTTATATGGATTTAATACATAGATATATGTCTAAATTTTCTCGATTGTCTATATTCTCTATTATATAAAAAGAACACAAATTTTTCATCATTTGATTTTCTACTGGATGAAAGAAAAAAAAACGTTTAAGCATGTTTTTATTCATAATTTATTATTTCTTAAAAGTAATAAATAATTTATATTAATATTCATAGATTTATTATAAATAATTACATGTTATTTATAAAAATTTATTATAGTCAAATCATATAACGTTAATAGAGTTATGTCTAAACAAAATATCAAAAGAAGATATACGATTGAAAAAGAAGAAAACTTTTTCTCTTTGAAAAATCGATGAGATTTTTATTTCAAACTAACTTAACTTTGTTTCATCTAATAGTAAATTGTAATGTCCTGACAAAATATGTAGACAATATCCGTTTTTGAATGACTTTGTCATTGGAATACTTTCTTGACAGATTCTATGATCTTTATCTAACTGTTTATATAGTAGAATAGACGGATCAAACTAAAAAAAAAATATTCAAATTTTGATCAAAAAATTTACAAAATAGAAATTTCAACAGAAACATGGATATTGTCGATGAGATCTATCTGTTCAGTTTTCTGTATAGTTATTCACAATAAACGATCTTATAGAATACTTCTGTCGAAATATATTTCTATCTATGCTTTTCGTTTATATATATCATATTCATTGAATTGATTGTAAGATTTATTGAATTAATAACAACAAAAAAAAAAGAAGATTTTTTGATTAAAATTTGAAATTAAAGAAAATTTTTATTAATTAATTTTATCGTTATTACTTCAAAATTTAAGAATAACACTAAAGTAACTAGTGTATGATAAAAGAAAATGGTTTTTAAAATTATAATAAATAGTAAATCATTGATAATTATCAATTGAAGGACATCACATCAATGTCATCAATATTACAACGTTTCAGGATAGAAACTAAAGAACCCAGTGAAAATTTAAATTTATATATATAAATATATCGATAGAAAAATATTGTTTAAATATCTAAATACATAAAAGATATCTGTAAGATATATATTAAAGTCAGGTTTATTATAAATAAAAGAATAAGTTATTATACAGAACAGTTGAATAAATATAAGATTGAAAATGTTTCAACTCAATATGTTTATATTATTTTTTTTCGCTTGTTTATTTGCATTTACATGCCAGTTAAATATTCTATAAAAAAAAAACGCTGAAATTTGACAAAAATTCAACGTAAACTTAAAATTATTATTAAAAATTTTCAAAAGTAAAATCTATATGAATTTTATTGAAATCTAATTATTGTTTAAATTTGATCTAAAAATATTACAGAACAATATCTATTTTTAAATAAAAACTATTCAATATGAAATATATTTATATACATGAAGAATTTTTCATTGAAGTCTCGAATCTTCTATATTATAAATTGAATATAAAGACATACAATCATTATTTTTATAGTAGTTATTGACGACAATACAGATCGAAGGACATTTATTATTTTACCTGTATGCCTGTCTTCATAGATTTCATCGAAACTCGTCTTATTCTTGAGTTAGGTAACAAAAAGAAAAATGAAGAAAACAGAATAAACAAGAAAAGAGAACAGAAACCACGACTCTTACGATCGTCATTTTCTCTTCCTTCCATTCTATCAATGTTAAAAAAAAAAAAAAAAAAAAAAAGAAAATAGTGAGTAAGCAATACTTTTTCGTATAGTATTTGTCATTGAGAAATAAAATATAACCAAAAAAAAAAAGAAATATTCATTCGATCAACTTAAAATTTTTATTTAAATACAAATATTTTGTTTTTATTTCATATTTAATCGAAAGAAAATATTTGTAATATTTATCATAGTCCCTTCTTATATTACTTTATTAATCATCATCGAACACGTGTAAACTTCGTCTCTGTAGAGAGTTAGTTGGAGAAAGAAAAAGAAGAAAAAAAAAAAAAATTAATTATTTCAATTTTTAGATTTTTTTTTTATATATTCAAATTACAAAAAAAAAAATTATTTTAGATTTTTTAATATTAAATGGATTACCAATTTGAACGAAGATCTCGACGACGACGACGACGACCTCAATCAATATCATTACATGATATGACTTCATCGAAAGATGACGATGATGATGATATTGAACAAGAAATTATTGATCGGTATGCACAAACAAAAAATATTCAACAATATTAATAAATATTTATATTAGAGCTATGGAAATCGAACGAAGACGAGAAAAAAGTTTACGCCGTCAACTTGAATATATTGTTTATAATATTAAAGTTGGTTGTTTTCTCTTATTTGTTTGTATCTAAAGAATTTTTTTTTTGTCTGAAAAGAAATTAGAAAGACATCGTCATCAACATCAACGATTCCGATCTCCAGAATATAATAATATGTTAACAAATCTTTCTCGTCATCGAAGTTCTGATTCACATATAGTATGAAATAATATTTATTAATAAAAAAAAAAAAATCTTAAATTAATTATTCATTAGTGTCAAGATTCATCATCTGAACGATTTTATCAAACAAATGATTCAAATTATTCAGAAGTAAATTATTTCCAGTCATTGTGTTTTGTTTTTTTTTTGTATTCGTTTTTTTTTTCTATAGACAAGAGTTCAATCAAGATCAAGATCGAAAAAATTAGTATCATGTCAAATAACAATGATTTATCAAGGAATAAAAAGTCAAAGACATGGTGATGAAATAATGGTTTTACAAGAAAATATTATTATTTTTAAAGGATTTCTACGACCAGAAGGTTGTTTTTTTTTTAATTAAAAAATTTTATTTAAAATATGTTTATATTTATTTTTATTTTTCTTTTTATATTAAGAAACATTTACATTTAAATTTAAACGTCATTATCGTCAATTAATTGTTAGATTAGAATTTTTTATTAATGAACTTTTTGAATGTTGTTTATCAATTGATTGTGAACGACAACAAATTGATAAAGAAAATGATCTTTTTCATTTACAAACTATACAAACATATGAATTAAATCAAAAGTTTATTGATATTTATTTATTTTTTGAGAGACATTTTTTATATTTTTATTTAATTAGACATCAAACAAATGATGAAGAACAATTGAGTAGTGAAACAGAAAAATCAGTAAAATAAATTAAAATATTCTTATGAAAATTATTTAATTATCTATTTCTAGAATTCTATTGATCATTGTCGACAACATCATCATTATCATAATTCGAGTTCACCAAGTAAATTTTAAAATATATACTTCAATTGTGTAAAAATTATTATTATTTTTTATTTTATTTTAATAATAAAGCAATAAATGGAAAGAAACAATCAAAATTAGATAATGGTCAACATCATCATAAATCTAAAACTCAACAACAATCTTCATCGAATCCAGTGAGTCATAGAATAAAAATATTGATTATATTGCTTTGTTTAGATATCAAAAGATCAAAATGAAATAACAAGAGAAACATCAAATGGTAAACAACGATCTCAACAGAGTTCTAATTCATCTCAAGTACTCTGTAAGCAAGAATGAAATCTTTTGATAGACAAGAAATTTTCAAGTTTATGTAAAATTTATATTAATCTTTCATTTAATGAAGATACATTGATAAATAAAAATCTCAAAACTTATTTTATTTAAAAACAACAATAAACACTACTATATTAGTATTTTTATCTATCATTAAATAATATATGATGCAAAAGTAATTGTACAAATGTCAACTATTATTTCTCTTTGATAGACGAGCGCTAAAAGAAATGATGGTTTACCAGAAGATAGAACTTTTTCTTCTCTTTCGAATTATATGTAATTTATTTTTATAATACACTCATAAATGAAACAACGTAGCAGAAAAGAGAAGCATTCATGAAAAGAGTTTCACCAAAATTTTATCCTCTATCAAACAATGTATGATTTATATTTGTCACAGATTGATAAACAAAATGAGAAAGACTAGTGCAATAAATTTGTGACTTTTTATATGAATTCATTAAAAAGATTTTGTAGATGACAGGTAAATATTACACTAAGTGTCGTTTTACAAAATATTTTTAACGAGTTCATTAAGATCGAAGTAAGCATCATTTTACAAGCACTTTTCAATTGAATCCATAAAAATTAAATTAATTATTATTTAACAAGGTGTTTTTGACGAGTTCAACTAAAAATTACAAATTTATTGTATCAGCGGTTCTTATTTTTTTTTTTTCTTGTTTGATTGCATTTACGAATATCTGACAAATATAAATCATAGACTGTTTGATAGAAGAGAAAATTTCCTATCAATTGATAAAAAAATATGTTTTTCAAGGTTTATTTATCGAAGAAATAGAAGAATCAACATTTTGTACCATTTTTCTGAATCTTACAAAAAGTGCGGCTTTTTTTCAAGGATACTTCTCTTTTCTACTATGTTGTTTCATTGATGAACGTGTTATAAAAATAAGTTATATATAATTCGAAAGAAGAGAAAAAACTCTATTTTCTAGTTTAAAAAAAAACATGTCATTTCAGTACCCTTCTATCGAAGAGGAATAGTGGTCGATATTTATGCAATTACTTTGGCATTACACATTATTTGTATCCACATATAGCAATATCTTTTTTACATTGATAGAAAATTCGAATATATTGCAGTGATTAAGTTTTTAGCAATGAAAGATTCATCTTCATTCAATATTCACGAACGTATGCTGGTAGTTTATGATAACTGACACTCCATTAACTACTATAGTTTCTGAAAAGAATTGCACTTTCAAAGATGGACAATTGAATATTGGCGATGGTCCGTCTAGACGAACTTCTTTTCGTCTGCGCAGGAGATACTTGAGAATCTTGATCAAGAAAGTTATGCACTATGGACAACTCTTGAGGACAGACTTGAGATCTTTCGGCTAGCTCAAACTCTTAAAATTCTTGTTCTATCGCTTGATATTCTTGCTCATGCGCTTGAATTCTTA